AGTCTTTATAAAAGGCTGCACTCTATAAATTATTTAAGTAATTGGAAAATATTTAAGTATTTTCAGAAAATATTTAAATCAGATTTTTCATATAGGTATATTCATGATAAATATTTAACAGCGGTATTTTCTTTTGAACTTTGAATTGGTACAAAGTCGGTTAAATTACATAAAAGTTGTGTTTTTAATGCTCATATTCAAGAAATATTTTCGGATTTATTTTTAAGTATCAGTTCCTCTGGGTCCCTGGAATATTATGAAAACAAATTGAAAGCAAGTTTAGGAAAATTTATCAGTTTTTGAAATGGAACAACCTTTAACATTTATCTAATTAAGTTAATCGAGTTTGAATCTGATAATGTTTAGATAAGTTAGCTACCCTATGTATTTGGAAAATAGCCACCCTGTCCCTGTATATGTACCTATTCTCTATGCTAAAAAAAGGCGTTTCAATATTTTATTTAAGTAGTTTGTGTGTGTTTTGAAAATAAACCGTTCTAAATTCTTAACATAGTGGTTTTATTCTCATCTGTGTCTACAATACAATAGATTGGTAATTAAAAATTACGTAATATTATTTTGAGAAATAGGTACTTAGATTGAATTCTCGTTTTCTTGACATAAGAGTAATTATTTCGAATTAAGTCACACTTTTTGATTTCAGTCATTTTATTGACTCGTAGATCATCATAATTTAAATCAAAAATACTTATAGACCTTAAGTCATTAAAATGACTTACTGAAGTCATTAAAATGACTTACTGAAGGTTTTGAGTTATAAAACGAATTAAATCACATTCCGCGTGTGGCTAAATTCATTTTGGTGAAGTTGCACCACCACGGATGCGATGATCTGTGGATGATAACTATTCAATAATGTCAATGCCCAACCACCAGCTTGCCAAATCGTGTTTAATTTAACAACACTGCTGTTTCTACCACCATTTCACCTCGGCGCCTACACTAGCTGAATTCAGCCATACGCGGATTATACTGACTTAAGTCGTTGCGTTGACTTGGAAGAAAATATTTCAAGTCAAGACTTAAGATTTAAATCATTTTGATTTTAGAAATAGATTAAGACTTTTTAAAACTGACCTGTTGCAGCTCTGCAACTTACTTGTTCCAAGTTGTCATCCGTGCACTTGAACCAAGCACTTGGACCGTTTCAACCGGTTCCGCAAGTTCCTCCTTATTACTTGCAAAGAAATCAGCCTATCTCTAGCCAAAGCTTATGTTTCTCGGTTTTTCGCTCTGTGAAATTTTTAGTCAATAGAAATGCCGATTTATTCTGTGACTATGCTATTCAAGGTCTGTTCTCACAGAAATCGTAAACCAGTCGGAGCGAATTTCATTGGTTGAAAATAGTCAGAAAACTGGTTGTTGGCGACTTGCACCAATCAAAAATGCTCTGACTGGTTTGTGATTTCTGTGTGAACAGAGCTTCTGGCTTCAGTGTGCTGCTACTCGGATTCTATTTTATGAGTCGAAGCGCATTGTCAGTTATGACGACACTCGATATCGAATACGATAGCTCCGGACGTACCGTGTATACCTACGTATCGAAAAATCGAAGAATAGAATCGCTATTTTTGACAATTCGATACGAATTTCGACTCAACTCGTAAAATAGAATCCGGCAGCAGGTAGCAGGACTATTAGGCCTGTTCGCACAGCAATCACAAACCAGTCAGACCGAATTTCATTGATTGTTAACAGTCAGAAAACTAGTTTCAACCAATGAAATTCACTTTGACTGGTTTGTGATTTCTGTCCGAACAGACCTACATATAATAATAATAGTTGTATTTCTTTCAAGACTTTAAAACACTACAACTACTCGCTCCGGTGTGAGTCGCACCCGATTTGAAAGGAACAGATGCGCTGGCTTACGTGCATTAAACGCACGAGTTCGGGCTTGAGCACCTGGTGCAACAAACACTTTTCGAACGGAATAGCTCGTTTTGCTCCGAAGGGATAAAGGAGCGGTTCGTATCAAAACGAGCAAGCAAATAGGGTGAGGGAGATTCAAGAACACTCCACCAAACAGGATTGCTCATCCTAATAAGGCGTACGTTCGCCTATTTTCGAGTCGGCAGTAGGTCTGCGGGTGGCGTCACTATCATCAGCAGCTAATAGTGGTGACATCATCGGCAGACCTCGATGAAATGGTTGCGATTCAGGCTGTGCTTGTGAGTTAATTTTTTCGTCGATATTAAAAGTAGAGAAAAAGAGATTTTAACGTTTAGGAATTCGCTTTTTTGACCTAAAGTGTTTAAAACTCGGATATTGCAATTTACGCAACTAGAGGTGGTTTTCGAACGCGGCTAACAAAATCTACTACACTAATGAAATATTTAAAATAAGCAAGAATATGGCGGCGGAACCTCTAAATAGGCAATGTGCAAAAAAGAAAAAAAGATAAATGTTTAGCCAAACGGCAAGTGAAAGAATTGTTTCCGTGTAGGTAGGTAATTAAATATTATTTTACAAATATTATATTTCAAAAAGGATAGTATTTTCCTAGTTCCATCAAAAATGGGGCAACGGAAAGTCGTGGTCGGTGAATCACCGACTCAGCTTTCGGTTTCGGTGACGTAACTGACGCTGTGACGTATGTAGAGAAAAGAATTGAATAAAAATAAACATTTAGAAAATTTGATGTTTCTATTTTAAAAATGTACAATACACTTCATTATTTTTACCCAAAACTGTCCAAGAAAATCAGGAAATTAAATTGGCAATAGTAGATATATAAAGGTCTGTTTCTGCAGATATCACAAACAAGTCATAGTGAATTTCATTGGTTTGAAACTAGTTTCCTGACTGTTTCCGACTGTTTTCAACTAATGAAATTCGCTCTGACTGGTTTGTGATTTCTGCAGAAACAGACCTATTGTCTCACTCGATACATAAGTTAGATTAGTAATACAACATTAACCTTGGTTTGCACCGACCATTTCAAGAGAGGTTTAACGATAATCAACGTTTAAAGACTTCAAAGTTCAAAGTGACATTTTTGCATGAAAACTCACTTCAGGCGTTGATTATTGGTAAACCTCCCTTAAAATGGTCGGTGCAAACGGTCATAATTGATTTAAATTTTATTGAAAAAAATTATACCCACATTTGCTTAAAATTGGCAAAATTTGAATGTGGTCACCAAATGTTTTTCTTTTTTCCGCTTTTGGATTGCCTTCGCGGCGCCGGCTTCTCAATGGCAAGTCACCCCCGGATTAAGCATAACTCCAGGGTGAACATTGAGGTGATGAGGTGACTCGCTATTGAGAAACCGACCCTTATTAGGGGGCGCTGGATCTCAGTCTCCCCTATAGTGGTCTTCCCCACTAGGGATAGTCATATCGCTACGGTCCTGTGTAAAAGTTTTACTGAGGGCCGGTTTCTCAATAGCATTCACCCGTCATTGATTCACCCCATATACAGGCCCCGCAACATAAGGTGGCGAGAGCTGGCGCAGGTAGGCGTAGCGGTGGTTCCCTTTTCTTGGCCCAGGACACCCTAAAATGCAAACCTTTTCCATTATCAGGGGCGTCGCTAATTGGTATGACCATATTGACATTACAAATAAATTATCATATTGTATCTACACGCCACTGTTCCCCATCGGTTGACCAAGGGTAGGGTTTACAATTCAGTTTACGCCCCTACCATTTCCGAATTTCGTCTACTGCGCAATTTGCTTTTTCGCCACCGTATTTTACACCAGCGTCCCCAATCGGCTAGGTAAAATTTGCTCGACCTGCGCGATAGTTTCATGGTGTTTTTTTCTTTAATTCTGAGAAAGGGTGTCATCATCCATCGACCCTCACAACGTTTCTAAAAAAGGTAGCTGCATCCATGGTCAAATACAAATCCAATTCACAAAGAAATTAAAGAAATATACGACGAATATACGTGATTCGATATCAAAACATAATACCTACATGGAGATAACAAATGACACAATTCACCTTGGTTGGGGCGTTTCTTAAACCGGCTAAGGGTGGGTATTATAAAACTGCTTTGACAGTTAACTTGAAGTTAACTTTTTGAATTACATGTAATTCCAGAAGTTAACTTTAAGTTAACTCTCAAAGTATTTTTTTAATACCCGCCCTAAGTCACTCCAACAACCCGAGTAGATTTACCTAGGTAGAATATAGCCCGGGTTGTCGAATCGTGAATGCACCCACTGGCTGGAATCACGACGAGTAGAATTCTACTTTCATGAGCAGTTTTCTCGCGTCCACTTTTTTGACATAGGTTCAAAACCGTTTCGAAACAGTCAATGGAAACACCATTGCCCGTTTCAAACCTCTTTTGAAACAATGCCAAAAAAGTGGACGCGAGAAAACGGCTATGACTTCACCCGCTACCTATTTATCGCGTACAGTACAGGCGATGATGATGGTTGCTAGGCAACCTGGGCTGGGATCACGACAAGTAGAATTCCATTAGAATTCTACTTTCATGACGTCAGGTTGCCTAGTAACCATCATCATCGCCTGTACTGTATGCGCTAAGTGGGTCGCGGGTGACGTCATGAAACTAGAACCCTACTCGTCGTGATCCCAGCCCTGATGTCATGGAAGTAGAATTCTACTTGTCGTGATGCCTGCCCATGGTAAATATTGCAACTGCTGTGGGCTGGGATCACGACAAGTAGAAATCTACGAGAATTCTACTTTCATGACGTCAGGTTGCGTAATAACCATCATCATCGCCTGTACTGTACGCGATAAATACGTCGAGGATGACGTCATGAAAGTAGCATTCTACTCGTCGTGATCCCAGCCCTGGACACGTTTACCGAGTTAAAACCAACCCGGAGGTCACTCGCTATGGGAAACCGACTCTGAGTGACTGTAGTTGGAGTCGGTTAATTGCGTTAAACCAAGCATGATGAAAACGCTTCTCTCTCAGAGTTGGAACTAGTCAATCACATGACCCCTTGCGGACCAATTGGCGTAGAGGTAGCGTAGCGCAAAGACGTGGCATCTATGTGCAAAATCTCTTCCACTTTCCACGTCCGCCATATTGACATCCGACAAATTTTGGGGTGGATTGGTAAATGTGCTAGCGTTTCTAGAAATATAAGTTCAGTTTTTTTATATAAAGGTAAGTTTCAATTCAATAATTATTGGCCTGGTAATTGTCACGTTATTGGAAGTGTAGTTTCGTAGTTTCCTCTTTTGACTGTTAGTTATTTAGTCCCCTTGAGAGTTTGTGGCAGTGACAAGTCTAATCGGCATTTCTGCTGAGACTCTGTAGTTTCTTGTTTTCGATTTAATGGTCCGATAATATTAATTAATTAATTATTGAAGCGTTTTTCAAATATTTGTTTAGTTTAGCCCATTCAACTATTACATCGATAGGTAAAATTGTTTGTAAAATAAATCAATATGTCAAAATTCTGGAAGATTATTAATATTACTACTGCCTTGTCCATCTTTGTTCTAATTATATCCAATAATTAAATGCGTAATTTCTTAAAATGTTAATGTTCTAATACTTTTTCAGTTATTAGATCAGCATCCACAATGGGGAATGTGTTTGCCAATTTATTCAAGGGCCTCTTTGGCAAAAAGGAAATGAGAATACTTATGGTTGGGTTGGATGCTGCTGGTAAAACCACAATTTTGTATAAACTAAAATTAGGTGAAATTGTGACTACGATTCCTACTATTGGTAAGTCTTTTTTTATTTCCTTTCCAATTTCTAGGTCATATTTTACTTATGACTTGGCTTTTTCAAATTTGAATAAACACCCTGTCAGATATGCGGAAGTTTACTATGCCTAACTTGAGTATATTTTCCTGTATCTTGGAAAAATTCAAATGTTATTTTGCCCAGAAGGTAGATTATGATAATAGATAAAATATAATATAATAAAATTGATTTATCATATCATAATAGGTGATCCTGATTCCTAATCATGTTGAGAATTTGGCTAGTCAGTGATCGGTATTCCAATTGAAGTGTTTGTAAAATATAAACACAGTTTTCTTGTATTACTCACTGCCTAAATCACCAGATTATGAGTAATAATTTTCCATTTTGAATAGGTAGTTAAATTGTTATTTTTTAAATTTTATTATACCTATTATTTCTTGCTCAATAATTTAAGTTTTATCAGGAATAATGACTCATAGGAATCCTAACTATAAAAATTCAGTACAAATCGTTCGAATATTGTTAGCAATCACTTTTTGCTCTGATAATTAAAATTATATTATTACAAAAAAATATCCAAAACAAAAGTTTTGTTGATGACTAGTTAATCATGGAGTCAATGATTGTAGAGTACAGTCACCGATTAATTGTGAAACAATAGAAATAACACCTCATATTGAAATTCCAATATTGAAGTACTTATCTAGTTGTTCTTGTCTCATTATAAATGCCAATATTAATAATTGTTGCTTATGATATTGTGCTTTTTACTGCTTATGCTAATGTTCAAATTTATCTCCAAACTTTATAGTCTCTAGTCTGTGCTATTTGTTTGTATACCTTGGCCTATCACTTTTAGTGATTTGCAAGTTTCATTTTGTGCTTATAAGTGTGGAAAATCAATTTTTTCTAACTTGTTTCATTGAATCAACTCACTTGGTGTCCGCGTAGGGATCCTATGAAAATATGGAGTGTGGAGGAATATGTAAAGGGTGATCCAATTAGTGCTTTAGCATTTTGAAATGAAATAAAATACAGACATTGCTGCGTTGCCAAAATGTTTTCAGTTCATTTGAAAGACCAACTAATTACATTTATGTTTTAAAAATAATATCGGTGAAATGACCTCCACGACTTTCTTCACAATAGTGAATTCGATCAGTCCAATTTATCATTAGGTTTTCACACATTTGGGCCGGTATTTCAGGAATAACCGCTCTTGCGATAACGCCATCGTTTTGTTGGCGGTATGACACTTAGCGCCATCCTGATGAAACCAAAATCCCTCTAGTTGGTTTTCGATGATTATTGGGAAGAAATAATCGTTGCTGAAAATGACGTCTAGAGACAAATTTGGATTATCTTGAACACTTGGACTTACAGCTTCAACATTTTCTGCATTTGAAACATTTCTTACACGATTTATTTTTGGGTCATCCAGCAACCTTAACTCATTTTCAAATTTCCTCACAACATTACAACTTGTTTATTCACTGGGTTGATCATGGGGACCATAAAGTGCACTTAATCCACGCTAAGTTGCCTTCATATAGAGCTTTGGTTTTGATAATAAATTTCAATAATTTTGCAACGTTGCTGTGGTGTTAAATGTTTTACTTCATTTTGTAATAAACCAATCTAAAAAACTACCAAATAATTTTTTTTTTGACATGTACAGTGTTGCCTATATTTCACTTTAAAATGCTAAAGCACTAATTGGATCACCCTTTATTAAGTAGAAAATACTTATGTTTCTGATTATTTGAAAAAGTATGAATTACTAACAAATTTAAGTAGGTAGGTCTAGGTACCTACCTGCTGTTCTGTTATATCTTCTCTAGGTTAACTTTTTTGTTTACTTTTTTGTTAGTGACCATATCATTATTGAAATGTTTTCGTGTACTTAATTGATTTTATTTTGAGGAGACTCTCGTGGATACCCCAAACCCACTAAGAATTTTAAGGTGCTTTTAATAAAACACCGCCAAAATTCGTAGTAAAATAGACGTATATACTTGTTTCATGGAACAGTCTATTCTTGATCTTATAAATTAGCCTAGTTTGGATTAGTGACTTCACTTATTCTCTGGTTTGGTGCAGGTTGTGAAAACATTACTTGTCTGGAAAAAAACTTTTTTACTAGATCACTTGTCATTAAATGTTGGATTGATATTTTGGTCTAAATTACAATATACTCAGGACACTCCCAAGTTTTAATTTCTATTGTGCAATAAGTCTATACCGAGGTCTATACACATGTGTGCAAAGTAACAATTTTTTTTTGGGAAAGAACAGCTCTTGTAATTTCTAATATATGTACTAGAAAATTTCTTAAAAGACCTACCTGAAACACCAAAATTCCTCAAAATTTCAATAAAGAATTCAATCAAACAAACAAACAAAAAGTATGTATTAAAAATTCCACATAAAATAATTAAGTTCATGAGGATGGTTCACTTTTAACACCAGATGAATGACTATTTGGAACATTTGAGACTGGGCATTTGGCACAATAATCATTCAAACTCAATAATTGAAGTGGAGATTAAATTCACTAAAGTGGTGCTCAAAGTATTGGCTGTTGGATTATTAAGTCTCATATGTTTTGACAATGGAGAGTAATTGAAAATTCTAAATATCGCTTTACAGTATTTCTAACCAACTTTATTTTATTAGAGAGAGTGTTTGGAACACCTTTCACGTTCAAATCAATACCCACTCACTTTTTTCTAATTTCAAATTTGGTAACCTTATTTCCTAAAAATATCAATTGGCTTTATTAATGAAATTGTCTTTGTGGATTCTGTGCTCTTGTTTAATTTATTGGTTTTCAAATACTTAAGCATAAAAAAAAAGTACTGGGGGCTCTGGTGATTGGAGGGGCAGATGGTCAGGGTATTGATAATTCAATTTTGAAAAATGATTGAATCAGTCCTCCTCATTGATAAGGGTTTGAAACGTTTTGTGAGACAAGGGTTCTATTCATTAACAAATACATTGAATAACAGTTTATTTTATGAATCACAAAAATGAACCTTGTCTAAAAATAATAGGTTTAATAATAATTTTTTTAACTCTGTAAATATTAAAATATTGCATTGATTTTGATTTTTTTTGCTTGATTTTCTATTCAAAACAGAATATTACAGCAAACCTTATCAAATTAACTAGTGAAAAAAGTTCCTAATTAATATGTATATCATTAAGGTTTAATAATATACTGAGTAATATACAAAATATTTACAAGAAATAAATATGTCATGATATAAAAAGAGACCAAAGATAAATAGATCTTAGAATGTTAGACTAAATTTGTAAAAATAAAAAAATAATTCATTCCTTATGCTCAAATAATTTTTTCTCCTCTATTCTCATTCTCTTTTCCTGTTGTGTAATAGTAGAAGTAGCTGGAGAGTCCCTGGGCCCGTTCCCTAACTTGCATCTACTGATGGGTTCAATAACATAACACAGTTTCTTTTTGTCTTTACTGTATTATTGTTTATAAGTGATTTGTAGTCCTCATCCAAAAGTGGTATACTAGTTTCTTTTGTTATTGAAATTGTATCGGGTCTTCAAAAAAAAAAACAATCAAAGATTGCTATGGTTTTTTAAACATATGTCTTAACAATATTTTTCTTTAATTTTGACAATGTCAGTCAATGAAATTTAATGTCAAAATGTCATGTCAAAAATGCTGACCAATAAAGAAACAATAATGCGACGTACGTTTTCGTAACCAAAGCAATCTTTGATTGGTTTTTTTTTTGAAGACCCGATATCTTAATGTAATAGAGAAATGAAAACAAAATAAAAATAAACGAACAAGGAACACAAAACCCGACCATGACACATTCCTTGTCTGTGTCCACTCCTAAAGTTCCACCTAGTGAAATGGATATTTTGGAGTGTACTCTTACTCCTTTTTCAATACCCGATCTCATACACTCTGACTCTGCCTCCAAAAACAATTCCCGAACCAAAGGAGTAGAAAATAATTAAAAAAGTCAACATGAATAGAAAAGAGTAATTTCCTAAGTCATTTCTGAACTTAGCTTTCATGGTTTAAATTTTTTATGTTCACAGCAAAATATATTTTCACTACATTCAAATTAATCACTGTTAATAAACTAGACACAATAGGTAACATCTTTGACATCCAAGTAATTACATATTGTGTGTTTTTTTAAAAAAAATCCATGATGTTTTTTAAAGGGCTGTCAATATTAAAACATTTCTTTTTCTTATAGGATTTAATGTTGAGACTGTAGAATATAAGAACATCAGCTTTACTGTATGGGATGTAGGCGGTCAAGATAAAATTAGGCCTTTGTGGAGACACTATTTCCAAAATACACAGGTAAGATACTATGTTTCACTATATTATTTAATTATGTATTGAATACTATGTGTGGAGATGGGAGTGTTTTTTATAAAGTTAGAAGAGGTGTGACTCTCTTCCATACAGATTTTGCCAGGCTTCCTAAATTGTTGATGTGATATTTTTGATGCTGAAGTATTTGCGTTAATTTATATGGGGTTGATTAAAGTATAATGTAATAAAATAAAAAAAAAAAAAAAACTAAATAAAATATCAACTTTAAAAAAATACTTAGGTGCTGCATAAATTTGACATATTTAATTTTTATCTCCTAAATTTTTGGAGAAGTTTCAATTGCTCTAGGTGAATAGAAAAATACTTGAAGTGAAGTACATATTACATTACAAAATTTCAAGTTGGCACTTAAGTTGCGGCAGAAGAAGGAACATCTATTTGAAAATAGAAATTTAATGTTAGAAATGTAACAGGAAATTTGTCAAAATCGCTACAGGATTTATCAAAAAAAAAAAAAATCTTTTCTTTTTATCATCATTCTGAAAGCTTTCAAGTCAATCTGTTAGAAAACTCAGGCTGAAAAAATCAGCAAAATATTCTCGGTGCTAGTCAATTTCATTTCCATTTTTAGTCTTTGAAATATATTTTTTTTTTCAGGGACTTATCTTCGTAGTAGATAGCAACGACAGAGAACGTATCGGTGAAGCCAAGGACGAGCTGATGCGTATGCTTGCTGAAGACGAACTCAGGGATGCTGTACTCCTCATTTTCGCCAACAAACAAGATCTACCCAACGCGATGAACGCGGCCGAAATCACAGACAAGCTGGGATTGCACTCACTCCGAAACCGCAATTGGTACATCCAGGCTACCTGCGCGACAAGCGGAGATGGACTGTACGAGGGCCTGGACTGGCTATCCAACCAGTTGAAGAATACCAACCGTTAAGTGCAGTGTTTTCCTCAGTCACCTCGTGATTGTTTAACATACTGGACTGTGTTTCTTAAATTTACCATATGTTGCAAATATGACCAAGGTTTACTGTTTGTTACCATCAACATCTTCAACTATAAACTTATAATTCAAAAAAAAACATGGGTAATTTCTATGCTCTGGTAATTTCAACTTTTAGGGAGAAATTTTAAACTCTTTAGTTCATCAAACATAATTCCACAATAAGAAAACAATGTCACAATATTGTGCCAAGCACATTGAGAATTTTCCCCAATAACTATATGTGGCGAACAGTAGGTACAGTTAGATGTAAGTTATTTTATGTGTCTTTATTTATTCATGGAATTGCTGGTTTGTTTTGTATAATATAACATTTATTTTTTTGTACTGAAGTTCTGTATAGTGGTTATTTGTAATAATATAATCTAAAATAAAAAATCGTTATTTTTGTAACATATGGTAGGATCCCTTGTGGGTCTTTATATAGAACATTTTAAATTGGTTGAGCCCCCGCTCAAACCTTTTAACTGGTTAAAGTAAATTTTATTTGTTTTTTTTTTTTTTGGTATTCCGCGATGATTTTTCTTTCGATTTGACAAATCGTGGGCAGGTCGTTTTGGTTAATAAATTGTATTGAATTGAAAAAAAGAGGCAACAAAAAAGTTTTTCGTGGACATTCCCGTTTTGTCAAGCTGTATTATCAAAATAAATTTATACTATTGATTTTTTGTCTAATTTACATTAATAATAGGTCTCATTAGTTTATTTGTTTTTCTTTTGTTTTACCTATTTTTTCATTAAATACAGAGCTGGGCTAATAAAGTCAAGAATTGTTTTGCAATCTCATATTGTTAATTATTCCTATAAAAAATATTTTTTTCAAAAAATTATATACTTCCCACTAATAGATTATTTGGGACAAAGCTGGATTTGTGAATTCGAAATTGAAGTCATGGTGAGTTCAGTTCAACATGAAACAAGTGGAAAATGTGTTAAATACACTAAGGGTGAGGTTGGATACAATGAGATGGACTTAAGTTGCTGCAATGATGTTGTTCCATGCCCAACAGAAATCAACTAGATTGTTATGATTGTATACTTAAATCGATCATCATAATTTTTATTCCTTTTCTATTGAGTATACTACTTTTAAGTATATGTATTAGAAGATGCAAGTCAGCTTTGCTTTTGGTTACAAACTGCAATAAATATTTTTTTGATCTACATGATCACTTCATGATCCTCATTTACCTCAAACTAAAATCAAACCGTGCATTAATCTCGAGTTAATAAGTCCAGCTAAAGTGAGTATGATTTATTTTGAACAGTTGATGCCAAAAAATCTTCTATAATCTTTTATTAGACATCGGCGTGGCATACCCAGCTCTGTCTTCTTTGAGTGTACGTATTTCCTACTCTCTTTGAGTTCAGGAGCTTAGTTTCACTCCCAGCTTTAATTTTTTTTTAAGAGCATAAGTTACTGTACTTTATTATAAGAAATTATAAGTATGTAGATTTGCGTAAATTTTGTATTATTTTGAAATTGGCCCTTCAAACAATCTAAGTCTAAAAAAATCCTTGACTCCAAAGATCACTAGTAACTGAAAGCTCAGAGAGTTTATAAGAAACAGAAAATATATGTAGAAAAGTTGGTATACTCAAGCATCAATGGTATTTGAACTTCAAAAAAATGAGCCTTTTTCCCTACTGTTTTTATAGGCAACTGGGGTTTTCAAATAACCAAAAATTTACAAAATTTCTTTGCTTCTTTTTTTTTTAAGAAGACTGATTTGTTTACTACTTTACCTTATCAGAGTTTATTATTATATGTATGTGTTTTCTCTAGATTTCTAGATCTTCATAACATTGGGCGTGTGAGTATTTAAAGAAGCTTTGCAACGACACTGCATTGTTATATTGCAGCTATTTTGAACAAAATGGTTATCAGGGTAACTTTTTTTCATATTTTCATGAAAAGGACAAAAAGTCAAATTCGACAAGCACGGTTTGTGACATCAGGAGTTAATTTGGGTGCAATTCTAAAACAAAACATGGACTCAAATTTTGAATATTCTGAAGTTAAATTTAAAAAAAATTCGGTATGTAGGTAATAAAAAAATGTCCCATGGTGCGAAATTTATGGATGGCCCTGCATGTTATTCTATTTTGAAAACCCAACTATCAAAAATGTCCTAAGCCAAAACACAGAGTTCTAACCCCCATCCTGTTTGCTATCTACAATGAAATATTCTTCTGCTTAAAATGGCTTCTAGCTGCTCAACCAATACACGGGAGTATAGTATAATCCTGAAAGCTTATTGCTGGCTTCCTCGTCTCTAATATCATCCACTTCCACACACAACACGATTAGTTCACTAGCCTGTGGGGCTCGGTTCTTGAATATTCTCGCACACGTAATTGGATTCGAATTGGAATGACAACTTTCGCCCCTGGCTTTGAAAAGTTTTCGAATAATATTTTGAATTTATTAAAACACTAATTTAATAATAATAATAATAATAATAAAGGTCTTTTATTTTCAAAATAAAGTATAAGAAATTACAAGATATTCATAAAAAAAAAGGGCGAGATTCAGTTTACCGATTTTTAGAAAAAAATCGGTATCTGTTCTTCCACCTAACCCTGATTTCTTACGGATTCTATGGTAGAACTTTTTAGGACAAATCTAATGATGCGTTAGTTAGGTTTAGCTCTCAAACCGACTGATTTATAGTGAAAAATGTTATGTATTTTGGAATGGACATGCAATGGATGTCAAAATCGAAATACACCCAGAAAAAAATTGGCTATCGTTAATTTAAAAAAATATCTCATCCAGTATCATCTTACCAATACTCGCGTGAGAAGGCCCTGAATCTCTTGACTGACGTACCTACAGGGTAATTTAAAACAATAATTTTCTAGAGCACATGAAGTTTTCCCCCCACCCGATCAAAAATATTTTTGAGAAAGAGTAAGGTCCTCCAAGAATTATCTGGTACATACCAGAACTTTCAGATGGATACTTTGAACATAGGTGGCCAGCTAGACCTTCTGTACTCGATTGGACTCTATCTTTTGTATAACGATTTAGAATATTGTCCAAAAATAAACCGATAAATAATAAATATTGACGAATTATACAGGGTGTCCACTTAGTGCGATACCGGACGATATCTCCTTACAGGGTGATGCAAGAAAAAAAAATTAAATTACAAAGTTGTTTGATACTCTAATATGCATTAGTTGAAAATATTTTTGAATATACAGGGTGCTCCGTTTATGGAGTATGCGACAGAACTTTGTTATTTTAAATGGCACACCCTGTATGTGATTGCATATTTGGATTCTACGTAAAATTCTGAGCAGATTTCATGTAATATACCCTATACCTAAGTTCAACTGTTTTGGAAATATTGACAGTTGAAAATTGACTTTTTGCAACTTTGACAGGCTGTAGAACCTAAACGGTTAATTTTAGACGAAAACCGATTCTACATTCCTATCTTAGATTTTTATAAACTATCATTTGACACCAACTTTGAATTTAACCAGAGATTAAATTTAACTGGAATTTTTAATCATGGGTATATTACATGAAATCTGCTCAGAATTTTACATAGAATCCAAATATTCAATCACATACTGGGTGTTCCGTTTAAAATAACAAAGTTCTGTCGCATACCCCATAAACGGAGCAGCCTGTATATTCAAAAATATTTTTATCTAATGCATATTAGAGTATCAAACAACTTTATGTAATTTAATTTTTTTTTTCTTGCATCACCCTGTAAGGAGATATCGTCCGATATCGCACTAAGTGGACACCCTGTATATTTGATTCGTATTCCTCTCTGATTTCGGTACCAACATAAATTACAAACAAATTATTTGCGGTCCTCCCTGAAAATAATTTTAACTCAGGCTGTTCCTGCTACAAGATGGTAACCAAGAGAGATAGAATAGAATAGAATAGAATAGAATAGAAAAATACTTTATTGTCAAGAATACAGGTTCTGTAGACAAAGCAGACTATAACATAATACTGACTAAAACTAAGTTGTATAAACGAATTTCAACAGTAGGTACATTTAACACATTAACATTTATACTTAACATTACAAGGACAAAATTGATTGAATCATTAACAAAAACCAAACAAGGCATATAGGGCTCTTGTTTGCAGCACATTAGTATAAAAACAAAAACCAACTTACAGGCAGTAAATAAAAACAAATAATTACCTATTATTTATTTTGAAAATTTGTCAACAAAAAATACTTTGATTATAAAATTCTTCAAGAGTGTGAATTGATTTTTGTAATAAGGCCTTCTTGAGCTTTCTTCTAAAAATCAGAGCCAAGGCTGCACATCTAATATCCGCAGGCAAGTGATTGAAAATCTTTTTTCCCTCATATATTATAGATTTTTTTTAAGGGAGCTTTTAGGAATAGGTAAGGCAACATGGTTTTGTTGGCGAGTAACTTGTGCAACTCTATCACCTTCGTTGTAACTATAGTTTTTATACACTAAACTTGCTGTTTCAAGTATAAAAATTGACGTTAAAGTAAGAATTTTAAGTTTTTAAAATGTGGCCTGCAAGATTCTCTTGGAGAAATGTCTTCTAAGAAGCGTACTGCCTTTTTTTGTAAAACAAATAGGATATTGAGTGAATATTGGGAGGCTGTTTCCCAAAATGTTATTCCGTATCTTAAACGGGATTCGAATAAAGAAAAATAAACCTTTCTGGCTATATCAGCCCCAACTCTAGTCTGACACATCTGAAAGTTTATGGCTTAATTTGAGGATGTGTTGATCAAACCGCAATTGGTTATCAAAATAAAGACCCAGAAACTTAACAGCAGATTCGTTCTGAACAGGATAATCTCCAAGGTTAATGTTCGAAATATTGCATCTAAAGCCAATGATGTTAGTTTTATTGACATTGAAACACAGGCGATTGGCATCACACCACTTTTTTTTATATTTTGAAA